TACTCCTGTAATGCAAGCTGGTCACTAGAAAATTCATGTCATATTTCGAAATATTTTTAGTTTTCAACGTATTGTAGTAATTGTTGCTGGTCGTCGCGGTCGTGGCTGAGATGAATTTATGAATTTTCTACCAATCATCTAGGATATGTGGCACGTCCATTCGGAAATACCTTGAATATATATAACAAAATACTGTCCATTCTCGTTGAGAGTAATTTTATTGCCAATACAATTCTCAAAATATTTATCTAGTACCACTGGGACATTTTTGTCGCACACTGTATGACCTCCCACATTGCACGTGTATGATACTCTGTCCCAGCCAGCTTCTTTGGACCCGAGGCAAGTTGAGCTTTTCGCTTGGTACGATACTTCGTTTGAGCCAGCTTTTGCTGTCGTGTACACTGGGGCGGCGGGATCGGCCGTGTCGTGTCGACCCCGCCGCCCCAGTGGACGAACCCTACGGTGATGTACGTTCTTCAGCAACCGCATGCATCTTGTTGACGAGCCGTTGATGTACTCATCGTCGCCTTCTCAGAGCGGGTGGTCAAGTATGTTAGCAATTATGAGGGCAACACTGTGCAGCTGCCCATTCTAACGAAACTTGTCCGAGCAGACACGCCCCATCCCACCAAAATAGTTTTCGACGATGATACGTTCTCAAGAAATACGTCGGTTTTCCCGTTCTACTTCGGCGTTCAAGTGTTAGCTTGACCGGGCCTTGACAAGGTGATGGCACGGACTGCTGCAGAAGGCGTTGGTAGTCCTTATCATGGAGATGCACTACAAGCAGTGGCTGTAGCCGTCGGCAAAAAAGTCGTCGTCAACAGCATTGACGATTTAACCCTGAGAGCCTGGTCGTTGCCCCGACAATTTTGATAATTATCAAATCAATTTAATATATTTAAATATTCGATTATTTAGATAAGTTTGATAATCACCAAAGTTGTACTACTACGACCGATCCACTTAAAGTGCCCACTATCAAAATTGGAAAAATTCTAGTTACGTTGACACTTCTACTTCATTGAATACAATTATGCATGACATGAATATTATTTGTAGAAAATCCAACAACGAGGTCATGGATAGACACGCACGGCACTATCCGCGGGCATTCGCGACTGAGCTGGAGCATCAATCGTACGGCGCTTTTTGTTCTTCTTCATGTGCGTCATCTTGTAGGTGTTGCACCCTCGCAATCAACTATGCTGGCAAGGACACCTTGAAGGCTTGAGTACACGTTTTCAATCGTCGTGGAAAGTAAGTTCTCGAAAGCGGTCTTCACGTTCTCAATCAAATCTTCAAGAGTTGAAGCAGGCATAGCGAGCTGTCTCGATTGCAAGGCGCTGAAGATACCCAGATCAAGGACGTTCAAGTCCGGGCTGTTTGGGGGCTGACTGCCAAACTTGACCTCGCGCACTTCCGACAAGCAGGCATTCAAGACTTCTTCATCCTGTTCGATGCGATGAGGTTATCGTGCTGCATTTTGACAGTTGACTTGGAGTGAATCTCAGGTAAGACATAATTAATCAAGAGGTCCTTGTAGGTTTTCTTGATGACAGACACTGGCTTGCTTTCAAGAGTACCCGCAGGTCGACGAGCGCTTGAACGCTTCGCAGGTACCTTATCTTTGATGGGTCACATTCTTATCTTACCGTCGAAGTAGACACCATCAACGAAACGTGGTCTCGCAATTGCTCTCAAGAACATTACTTTGGGCACAAAACGATTGTTCTTCGTTGGGATTTTTGGCGTGCTTTCCCACGGAGCCAGGTATATACGGCTGCGTACCTTGAGAAGGAGAAGCCAATTCTCGTCGAGAAAGACATGGTCAGTGAACTCATCGAACTTCAAAGCATCACCACATTTCTCCGATAGGCTCAAACAGTAAGTAAGCCTCTCCTCTTTCGCGTCATCATCCAGCAATGGTCTTGATTTGGTCGTAGCTGACACGAACTCCCCACGCCGTAGCCGATTATGAATCGTTGTTTTAGGGACATTGAGTGCAGCGGACATGGTCGCCAAGCTTCGTCGTTGGTACGGTCTGAGGGCGGCTTTCTCTTGGAATTCCTCTCTTATTTTCGAATCGCGTCGCTTTCGCTGTTTCTTAACGAGAGCGTCTTTTCTCGTCCCTCTCGACCAAACTCGTCGAATTGTACGCGTGCAAACACTATACTCGTCAGCAAGACGTTTAAAGTCGCCATTTTTTGGCTTGATATTGACGGCATTCTTTGAGAGTTTCGCGAATATTGAGATCCTCTGCTTTTCATCTAGCTGTTTGTTCGTCATGGCTAGTTCGTCAATGGTGAGTACATTTAGATTATGGTATAATTTATTCAAGTCATAATCAGGCAAAATTCAAAACGCACTAGCACTTGTGTTATGGCGCCAAACTTGACACAAATGGCGGCGAACAAATTATCTTGATTTGTTCAATCAATTTCAACCACTCACATTGCCCAAGAATATTTTCCCTCCTTTTGGGGACCGCTCAAAGTCATAGTGGATACTTTATTTGGATCGGAGTAGTACGTTTTAATCCTTGTAGACGAGACTGAGCATCACGGGATGGAGTAAGAACGATTATTCATCGTTATTGTGTTCCATAACCTCATTTCATCGCATCCAGGCAGCACATGTAAGTTTGATGTGCGTTACTACCTTGATAGTGGTCCCAGAGATTGAAAAAATCTTGGCGAAGAATCCATCCGCAATGATCGTAAATTTCGCTCATGTTGAATTATTTATTCAACAGGCGACAACGTTTCGACGACGAATAGTAACAGATTCGGGCCTCTTGTTTCCACGTAGCGGCGTTGAAATCATTTTGACTTCACTGAACAGAAACTCAATCGGATGGAAAAATGGGCAATACACGGGCAAAATATGGCACAAATCAGCAGGTAACAGACGTTCTCTGGGTGCTGATGAATGATGGCACTATCCAAAATCCAACGGAACCCAAGTGATGATATTCCGCTCCGATTGCTGACGACATGGGCAAGGACCGTCCGCGAGTACCCGCGATGATTTTAGCCGAACAAACAATGATACACGGTGTTGGGACGTGCGTGTTGCTGCTGCCTCCATGGTTTTGCGATGCAGGAAGACTCCTATTCAATTGAGTTTAACCGATGAAATCGATGCACTGATCTTGATATCCGTTTTTGAATTTTGTCCAAAGCGCACTAGACCTTATCATCAAAGATGGAATTCCTGCTCAAAGAATCATATACTTACGAAAACTGGTATAATTCTCGAAAGTGACTGAATGTCTGATAAAATATTAAGATACAAAGAAATGGTAATATTTCAATATTCGATCAGCATCGCGCATATACGTTGAGAATCTGGTAAAAATACGTCGAAATGAACAAGACCTGCACGACAAGTCTATAGAGCGACATCGAGATCGCTGGAATGGTCAATTTCCTTTTGGTTACCGCCACTCGATGACGCAGCCATAAAGGACCGGCCCAATACAATTTACCGCACGGCATTAACATGGTCTTAAACGTTGCTTCAGCGCCTTTACGTGCAGACGGTCTCGGACCAGACGCACCTATAGGAGTGCCTATGTACAGTACTTGAACTAGAATCAGGATTTCGGCCTCTTTTGTTCATGGTGGATCAGATTGATTAGTTCTGCACATTTCATCAAAGCAAAGGACATAGTGGAAACATCTCTGACATTGCTCAGTCGTGCAGCGACAAGCGAATAACTCTCTTTTAAACATTTGCCTGTATTTTCCATCAGGTGCATATACAAATCGAATAAAACTGAAACGATTGTTGCAAGTTGAATCGATTTGGTGACCTACGGATTGCGCAAATTCGGCCCGAATTCACAATACAGCAATTACATACATTTTCCTGTGGTTATACTATACATAATTATACTCCCTCAGTTTTTGAAATATTGCACATGGGATCGGATGGACGACTTCGAGAACACTGATTGGCAAAATTGTTAGTGGGTCGTGTTCCTTGCAATAAGCTATATCGACTGGAATTCTTTAATGATTTACGTTTTCAATTTTCGTTTGAAAGAGTCTACGCGAAAGGCGAATACAAAAACCAAGACAAATATGACGGACGAGCTAAGGGTGCCGCTATAGTAAGACATTCTCGAGGTCAGCGTGAGCGGTCAGCTTACCTGCGAAAAATTACAAACTATGCGCGTGCAACATGTATGGCGTCCACCATTCGACACGGGTTGGCATATTGGCAAGTGTGGTGAAGACACCAAGTCGTCGAATGGTGTAGCTGTCGTCAAGTCACATTTAAAGAGAGTCGCCGGCAGACACCTCAAGCATGCACCGGGAGAAATCCAGTAGCGAATCAAGAGCGTACCGATGAACAAGTGCCAAATGTACCGATCTCTCGCAGCGGCGACTGGGCTCTCAGTGTTGGACTTTTGGACATTTGTCCATCAGTGCATGACAAGATGATCAAGTCGGGAAGGCCGCACATCAAAACCGAACAGAAGTTGGCCCGACGTTTTGCCTAATTCCTTTTAAATGCACCACATGGCCATGTCCGTGATTTGGCCATTGTGGTGCATTTGTACGAGAATGGTTTTACATAACCCAAGCTCCGTCGCCGCTTCCTCATTGGGCCGACGAGACTATCTTGCCTCGGTATATTCAGTCTAAGTCGCACATCACCAAGGTGACGTGTTTGTTTGCCGTCGCTCGGCCGCGGCCAGGATGGGACGGTAATGTTGGCTGCTGGGAAATTGTCGAGCAACCGACGGCCAGCCGAAGCAGCGTCAACTGGCCGGCCGGAAAGACGTCAATCGCAGAGTTTGACGAGCTCGTTGCGGCGATGAAGCTCCGCTTCCTTCCCCAACACAGCGATTTCCAATATCGCTCCAAGTTCCTCGCATGCAAGCAAGGTAAACGCTCCTTGCAAGACTACATTCACGACCTTCGCTTTTTGGTCGCGAATGCCAACGACGACTCCTCGCTACCGGAAGCGCTCCGCATCAACTCTTTATGGCCGGGCTCAACCACGGCCCGGCACGTACACAGCTCTTCCGTGTCAATCCAGCCTCGTTCGAAGAGGCTGTTCGCATTGCCCTAGCTGAGTCGTACGCCACAGCCCTAGCGCACAATCGTGCCGATCCATCGGACATGGATATCACGGCATTATCCCATACCAACGACGCCAAGTGCGCAAGGGTAACTTTTGGCGTGAAAGTCGCGCCCCTCGACGTACACTCACTTCCTATGCACATGACGCGCGATCCGACTTAACTGATCGCCCATATCCTCACCGCGTTGAGTAATGAAGTCGCCGCTGATGCCGCACCAGTGCGCTTGTTGACCCCAGCACACTTGTCTTCGTAGCCATGTCGGCAACCTCACCCCGAGATGTTGCACCCTCGTGCTGGCCCACCAGTAGACGCTGCCGTCGTATCCACAACTCCCGTCGACCAATCTCCTTTCCACATCAATCTCGCCCCTCCATCACCCCTTCAATCGCATTGGGATCAAATTCACCAGTTGCATCGCCTTGTCACAGCACCGCATATCTCGAATCCGCAAGTTGTCACTGCGAATGCGTTCATTCACCGCCTATGAACCTCGACGAGTTGCCTCGATCCTACTCCGACATCCTGGCATTACCAGAGATGAGCTATCACTCCTTTTTGAAATCCCTCCGTTCGCACGATATCGCGAGCATAGCGATGAAGACTTTGACCTTTTGTCCTCGTCCTCGTCCACTGCTAACGAATCTGCCCTGCCTGACTTAGGAGAGTCCCAAAAGTGAGTTTCCCTCCGCTTGAATCCGTTCTTCGACCTCTTTGATGAGTTCAAGGATGTATCCCCCGACGACGTCTCTTGTCGCCTATCCGTAGACATGAGTATTTGACACGACATTGACCTCGTGCCCGGCACGAAATATTGCGTTCCTAGCCAATGGCCGCTTCCACGTGATCGATTTGAAGCGATCCAAGCGTTCTTCGTGGCTCGTAAAGCATCAGGATGCGTACGTGAAAGCACGTCCCCTCACAGCAGCCCGACGGTCTGTTTGAAGGAACCTAACGGCAAATGTCGTTTCGTACACGTCTTTAACTAGCTCTACGCCGCTACAATTTCGGTGCAAATACCCATTCCCCGCAAAGGGGGGAATGGGTGTAAATAATCAGTTGTAATTATTGACCACATGGGTCGATTCATCATATTCTCTAGCTTCAACAGTGCGATGGTTCCATCAAATTCTCATGCGCCGCCTGCAAGGTGCAGAAGACCTCCGTCTTGACATCAAGAGGAATGCTTTGGAAGATGCCCCAAGGCCTATCCAACGCCCCTGGAACATTTAATCGCATGATGACGGCCAAGTTCCGCCCTCTCCGCGATTTCGCCCCGTAATATTTTGACGTCATCTGCACGCGTAGTCGCGGTTCTGAAACCGAGACCGACCTCGACGTTCACCGTTGGCATCTTCCTGCGGTCCTTGCTGTCTTTCGTGAGAATGGCTTGCATGCCAACCTCTCCAAATGTTTGTTTGGGATCGACGAAATCTCTGTCCTTGGAGACCTCGTCGGTATTCACGGTTGCCAGGCTGATCCCGACCATTGTATTACCAACCTTCGCCGGCGCCTTGCCCTGACTACCTACTTCCACAAGTATTCTCGTGGTTTTGCCGACATCGTGCAACCCCTCATTCGGTTGCTCGTCAAGGATGCCCCATGGGTCTGATCGAGCGACTGTCAGCTCGCCTTCGACGCTCTCAAATCCAACATCAAGAGTGCCCATATTTGGCGCTTACGGACTTTTCCAAGTCGTTCAGCGTCATCTGTAACGCTTCCCAGTACGCCATCGGCTGTTGCGTAATGCAACCTGATGTAGATGGTCGCTGACGTCCCGTGTCCTTTCAATACCGCCAGATCCACGCCGCCGAGCGTTCGTACCTTGTCCACGATCTCGAGCTCCTCTCGATCAAGTACGCCCGCACAAAGTTCAGCGTCTACCTCATCGGCGTGGACCCCTTCATCTTTTACACTGACCTTGCGTCGTTGCGAACTGCCGTCAACACGCCCCACATGTCAGCTCGCATGACTCGCTGGCTTTCCATATTCACCGAATACAACTTCTCGTTTCAATACAAAGTAGGCAAAGACAACGTCCTTGCTGGCGCTCTCTCTCCGTGTCCTGACTATTCGTGTCCTTAAACCTTGCCTAGATCTGTTCCATCCACTTCGATCTCCATGTTCGCATCCGAGCCGCCTACACCCTCGACACAACTTGATCGACCATGTTCAGTGCCCTCACCGCCCTGAACCTCCAAAACCTCGGCATTCACCGTCCTTACTCCATCGTTACTCTGTTCACGATGGCCTGCTCTTCAGTCAACCCACCCAGGACTCGCCCCCGCGCATTGTTGTCCCTTGGGATTCTGTGATTTGTGCATCCCTTCGGCCCGCGTATCATGTTTCCCCCAGCGGCGGCAACTTCGGCCGTAACAAAATGTACCCTGCGTTGTCCAGTTCATACATAGTGCATTGACAAGCGTCGTATCTGGCGACGCATGTCAACGCACTAAGACCGCGACTTCCTCTAAAGAGCTCCTACACCCTTTGCCGGTTCTCGATGAGCACTGGTCAGCGGTAGGCATGAACTTCATGTTTGGCCTCCCGCGTGACGCTCGTGGTCGCACGGGTATCATAGTTTGTGTGATAGGGCGTCCAAATACATCATGGTCATCCCAGTCAAAAAGTCTATCAGCGGCAAGACGCAGCTCGCCTATTCTTCGATCATATCTTCTGTTGCTTTGGTCTCTTGCGGTCCATCTTGTCGGTCCATCGTGTCGGACCGCGACACCCTCTCTTCGTCTCACTTCTGGTCGGCTCTGTTCGACCTCTTTGGCACTGACCTTGCCATGTTTACGTCCGACCGCCCCGATTCTGATGACCATTGTTAATGATGTGATGATCAAGTGCTGGTCCACAAAGGTCGTGATCAAGAGCGTGGCAAGATGGGTCAAGCGGGGGACGAATACCCGAATACTGGTCAAGAGACGTCGTATCAGAATCACCCAATAGATATTGGACACACAACAGTACAGTGTACACCAGGTCATATCCAAATCAACCAATTTCGTAATTCAACGGCTTGACAACATCTTATGTACCTTTGGAACACACCGCCTTTCGTCTCAATTTTGGTCGGCTCTGTTCGACCTCTTTTGCACTGACCTTGCCATGTCTACGTCCGACCGTCCCGATTCTGATGTCCAGACAGAATGTGCCAACCGCGCGCTCGAAGACATTTTGCGTGCGTATTCCGTGGCACAACCCTTCGCCTCATGGAAACGCCGGCAGCACCGGACGCTGACCCTGCACCAGAAACGCCGCTGTTGGTTCCGACTTCATCCTCCCGTAACCGCCATCGCGATCCAGTGCCGTCGACCGCTGCCCAGGCTTGTCTCGTCTTGCCTTACGCGACTCTTCCAACGGATTCCGCGTCCGTCCCGCTGGTAGGGGAGATGACCAGCACCCCTGCTCGAGGAGTCGACAGCACCACCCCCGCCGTCGTTTACACTGAGCTTGACCGCACCACGGCTGGTCCAGTCGCGATGGAAGAAGGAAGGACGACAGCTTGTCGTCGCAACGGATCATTAACGAGATGGTTGTCAGAAGCTGAAGTCCACTCAACCTTACCTCGCGCTCACGCCGCGTTCCTACGCAAACAGCGCAACAAGTTCGGCGGGTAAACGCCGGTTAATCGCTCAGCGGGTCAATGCAAAACTAGCCAAAGAACTAGCCAAGGTCCCCACAGTCGTCGACCAACCAGCTAACCGATTTTTTTTACGTACCGCGTTTGGACGAAACAACGAGTACAAGAATACGCTGATGTACTCCAGTCTCGCCTTCGCACAGGTCGACATGCCCAAAGTCGAGAACCCATCGAGAACCCAACTTGGATTTATTTCGCGCATGCGTTCTTTGTAGCGCGCGAACCCTCATTCGTCAGCGGTCACCATCGTCATTGTGGTCACAGCACTTAGCATCCACAAGACGTGACCTTCGAAGTCATCTTGGTTCGCCAAAACTCCGCCAGATACGCATCGTCTTCGAACACTCGCGCAAGTATGCCTGATTCGTTGCCTTCGTCGACGGCATTGACGTCACTCGTGGCGTCACTCACGAAATCGAACGTTGCCTCGCAGACGCCGTCCATTCCGAACGTTTCGCTCAAATCGTCCACGAGTTGGACTTCTTCCATCCGCACTCGCTCAAAGTCGAGATCCTTCAAGGTCCACCAAAGCACGCGGGGCACCATCTTCGCGGGCTCTTCGAATTTCCACGTCGTCGTCTCAGCACCGAGCAATTTTCTCTTCGCGCCAACGCTGTTACTTCAAAGTCGCGCAATCGACGCTGCACCTCTTGAGCAGCCCGTTCCGCTTACTTGACCGTCCGCACAGCTTCTTCTTCGCGACGTTCACACAGCAATTGCTCAACAGCCTCCAACGACCCCAACATTTGAAGAGCACCTTCCAACATCCCTCGAGCCGCTGTCTGCTCGAGTTCCTCTTGACCTTCAGGTCGCTTCATCCAATCGCGACCGCTGCACCGCCTCGAACGTCTCAGGTGTTTCAGCCTCTACTTCACCGGTCAAGTCGACGAGAGAACTTTGCCTTCTTCACCACCAGTGAATATCTTGTCCACCTTGCGCTTGCCTGGACCCCTACTATCCTGTAATGTTGATGGCCGAAGCCATCAAGTCCCGCGCGTCCATCACAACACTCCACGACACGACTCTCTTGGTTTCGTTTCGAGTGAATTCGGCGATCTTGGAGATTGAGTACAGCATGACTGGGATCTCGGGCGAGTCGTACTGGTCCAACGAGATCATGCCAGCGTCCAATGGCCTTGGAGAAAATATTGGCGTTCTCTCGAAGCGCCTTAAGCGTTGCGCTCCATAATCACTTTAAACGACGCCAGCACTTGCGCGGCAATCACGGGAGACAACGACGTCCCCATGAAATAACCGGACGACGCTCTGCGTATCAACTCGATCACGTCCTTGCAGGTGGCGATGTGCCCCCCATACCTCCAAACGACTTGGAGAAGGAAGGAATTTACAGTTACGCGTAGCTATATCCGGCTGTTTGTCTGGTAACTAACTGAAGTGCCTTGGACGAGTTCGCATCCGTGGAACAAGGTCGTTGTCGGTTCTGGAAGGTGCCAGCGGTGGGCAATGCTCGAGTACACGGCGGGTTAGGTGGAGCCATTTGGCCCTGTCGAGTGCAAGTTGGCGGAGGTGGCCGATGACTTCGCAGTTGAGGACGCGCAGCAAGTGGTTCAATGGGCGGATGTCGTGATCGAGGACGATCGGCAGGGTGGTGAAGGATCGGCCAGGCCACTTTGGGTAAGTCGTCGGCGAAAGAAGTCCATCATGTGTTTGTTGGCAGGAATGTCCAGTGGGTGGCGGAGGATGTGGCCGAAGAGACACCAGCGAGCACAGAGAAGTGTGAGCCAAAGTGGCTCGCAATCGCAGCGGTAGTAGAGGTTAGCGTTGGATATCCTGTTGGGGTAGAAGATGCGGAGATAACAGCAAAGCTGACGGCGGTGGAAGGCTTCTAGGCGGTGGAGTTGCGTCGAGGTTAGGGCCCAAGTACCACAATTATATGTGAGGATTGATATGACGTAGCAGTTGTAGCAGCGGAGACGTGTGGTTTCCAAGACTTGGTCAGTACGGAACCAAAGGCGATACATGCAGTGAAAAGCAGTACGGGCGAGGGTAAATCGACGTTGTAATACGGCTGAATCATCCAGATAGCTGCCGAGTTTTTGCATGTTCTCCAGGTTGTTGTGTCTGCATCACTGGTCGAATCGAAGGGCTTGCGTTGTATGACTGTACGTTCAGTCATTTGGATATTTATTTGGAGGTTTCAGTGGGCGAGTTGCGAAGGGGCAAGGTTGATGAGGGCATCCATTTGGTAGGGCTAGAGCAGACGAGGTCGGCGTCATCGGCATAAGCCATGGTGCGGGCGAGGAGGTTGCTGGGGGCGTTTGCAGAGGAGGCGAAGTCGCGGAGGGCAGCGTCGAGGTATACTATGAAGAGAACTGGTGATAGAGTCCCCTTGGGGGACGCCGATATTGGTGGAGAATGGCGCGAGCGGCAGTTGTTGGCAACGGAACGATAATGTGGTCGACGTCAAGTGAAGTCGAGTGAGACGGAGTTCGTCGTCATTAAGGAACGTGGCGAGGACAGACATTAGTGTCGTGCAAACGACAGTGTCGAATGCACGGGATAGGTCGATACCGAGAATGTAGTGTATGTCTTTGTATCGGTGCGCGCGTGCTACCAGCCATTTGTGGGTACAGACGACGTCTGTTGTGCTGCGGTTTGGGAGGAATCCACTTTGGTATGGGCCGATAAAGGATTCGACTCTAGTAGAGATGCGGTGGAGGGTGATGAGGGAGACGGCTTTGCGAATGCTGTTGAAGGAGGACAAAGGGTCGAAGGGGAGAGCATAGTCCGGGTGGCTTGTTTGCTTGGGGAGGCAGATTAGGGTGCCGGCACCGAGAGAAAGGGGCTGGCCTGTTGCAAAGCTTTCGTTCAGTATGCGCGCAAGCGGAATAGAGAGGAGGAAGCGGTCATGCTTGAGGAGTTCGCCAGTAACACCATCGGGGCCGTAGGCGCGTTGGTTGTGGAGGCGGCTGAAGGTGCGTTCTACTTGTGATATTGGTTCGTTCAGTGGGCGGGGGCCGGTGCAGGGGGTTGCGGGTTCGCGCGCGGGGTCGTTGAACAGGGCATCAAAAGTGCTTTTATGCGATGGTGTGCCGTGACGGGGTTAAGTATATTGTGACTACGGTCATTTGCTATGGTAGGTCGAGCAGTGGGGCGGTGGAGTAGGGCACGGACAGACGAAAGCATTCGTGTGTGTGGAATGTGGGTCTCGATGTCGGAGGTAATACAGTTGAGCCGTTCATTGGCGAAGAAGCGGAAGTGGTCACGGATGGCGTGGAGGAGTTGGTTGCGTCGGGTTTTAGTTCAGCGATGGCGGGGGCGGGAAGAAGGGGCTCGTGTTGCAGGCGGAGACGGATAGAGCGTTATTCTGTGGAAAGTTGTTTTAACGTGGCGTCAGCAAAGTTGTGTGTGCTGCCAGGTGAGAGGGATGCTGGGTGCGAAGTCTTCGAGGCAAGGAGGGCGAGGTCTAGGTGGGATTGGATATTGGAGTTGGGTGTCGCTGTAGAGGCCAGGACGTGAGTGGTTAAGAGATGTGCTAGCTGTTTTTTGTAGGATATTTGGGTCAAGACGTCCAGGAGGGAACGAAAATCGGGGGGTTGAGGACGGTGGGAATTGAGATGCATGCGAGGGGCAGAGACTGCGAGGAGGAAGTCAGCGGTGGCCAACTTGTGGTCGGAAGGTGCCAGCATGCCTCCCCATGATTGGGCACTGGTGCAATACCGGCGGAGCTTGTGGGTCCGAGGATAATGTCGATTCGGTTGAGGAGGCGGTTGTTGCCGCGGGGTTGGCACCACGTGGTGAGTTGGGAGGCGCGTTTTTTTAACAGTGTGTCGAACGCTACAAGGTTTGGAGAACAGTTCTACCGTACAGTAATCCGGATGCATGTCAAGATCTTCATTGGCATTGAAGCTGACGAATCAAAGGTTGCTAGCGACTCTACCCACGAGTCGCCTTAACTTTCCATATTTATGTAGCAGAGCTACATAGCATAACCCTCCCTTCCAATTCATACTTCATTTTACCTACTCCTTCTCCTGCGTGTGGTCGATGGCATTATTCCTCGTCATCTGTGTAGTGAGTGAAGATGAGCGTACAGCATGAACAGGTTCGCGATGGCACAACTTCATTGATCGGTGAACTGCTAGTTGGAGAATCACTGCATGAAACTTCATATAAATGTACACAAAAATTGCGAGTTCTTCTCGAGTAATCTGTGACTGTAGCGACCAAAGGACCTAACTAATGATGTCGCGACGTCGAGTGTGCGTGGTCTCTAGAAGTCGGCAGCTAGCCGCACCCGCACCCGCGACATGGCAGCTAGGCGCATCCGCACCCGCACCCGCGACACGGTCGCGTGAGTACTGCATAGCGATCATTAGCTAGAACGATTTAACGATGACAATTGAATCACTTCCAAATTTCCTCTGCGCTATCAACTCCCTACAATTGGTAGCACTCACGGTTGACAACAAGGACTTACT